GGGAAGGAGACCCTGTAGGAGGCGGGGGCAGGAATGCAGGTGACAAGCGACAGTGCCCGGTCTAGGCAGCCCCAGGGGAGGAATCAAGACTCTGGGACATGCTGGGCAATTCAACCATCTTTGGCCTGAGCTCAAAGAAGCGTGAGGCCGCCCTTGACTGCAATGGGGAAGGTGTTCAGGGAGCTTGGGAGGGGAGGTCACGAGCTCAGTGCTGGGCTTGGAAATGGGGAAACACATATGAGGCATCCAAGTGGAGCTGTTGGGAGAGTTAAAACAGATGCTGAAAGGTGCTCGCCTGGCATTTAGCAAATATTCATGACATTGTGCAACGGTGTCAACCTATTTTCCAGGGAAAACGTAGTGTTGTCCTTATGAGACACACACAAATGTTAGACTCAAAAGTAGTATAAAATATTTCCTCAATAGGTATGAATTGCTTTTTAATTTGAATGCGCAGCTTCTGTCTCAGCGCGGGTATTTACCCTCATCTGTTGCCTTCCTATTTCTGTTTTAGTTTTACTGTTTCACATTATTTCGGGCACTTCCATTTTTGGGAGCCCTCGCCGATAATTTCTTATGTTTACTAACCATTGTGTAGTTCTCTTCCTTACACGTTGAGGAAATGTCTATTCTAGTTTTTAATGTAAAAAATTTTTTTAATCAAAATGCACATGTTCAGGAGTTCAAATGCTTCAAAGTGGTCCAAAAGAATACAGTGTGAAGAGCTCCCCTCCCCCTGTGTCCCCCAGACCCCCTCCCCAGATACAGCCCTGTTGCTAGTGTCCCGTGTAGCCTCCCAGAGTCGGTCTACTAATGTAAGCTACTAATGTCATTTTATTTCTTTGCCACGTATACAAGGATATCTTTCGGTTACTGTTCTAAAAACTCAAATGCTAAGAGGAAGGGCATGTACATTTGTAATTTTATACATATTGTCAAATTTCCTGTTTTGGTTTGGATTCCCCCATAAGCAAACCCTGAGACAAACACAAGTAGTTTATTTGGACGGTGATCCAAGAAAATACCAGTACAGAAGTAGGGAATTGAGACAAGAAAGGCAAGGTGGGGCTGGTTGTTTAGTGGATAGAGCATGATACTGACAATACCAAGGTCGAGAGTTCCAATCCCCATACTGGCCAGCTGCCAAAAGAAAAAAAAAAAAAAAAGAAAGGGAAATCATAAGGCATGTCAAGCAAGTTAACACTATGGGCAATTGGAACTTGATCCTGCCGGGGAACTCTAGGAGCCAATGTAGAACAGGCACACACAACTCACAGTTATCCTACCTGAGGAGTGAGGGGGCTTGGGGTACTGGTATATCAGCTCTCATCAGTCATTGGCTGAGAAATTAGTAATTCCTTGGTTCTTTGTCCAGGAAGCTGGATCAGGAGTCTAGAGAAAGGCCCTAGGCAAAGGGGCAAGGTGCAGGTTGTCAGGAGAGCCAGGTACATTCTCCTTCTGAGAAAAATTTGGAGAGCACCTGGGCGGGCCCCAGGGCTGTCTGCTACACCCCCGGGGAGATTGGAAGCAGTACTGAGTCCACCAGTAGTGGAGAGCAGGGCTTGCTTCCCAGCAACCTCAAAAGACTATTCTTTTGATATAATTGCCTGCGGTTTTTTTTTTCTTTTTTATCTAATTCCAACTTAAAATGAGACTTAAAATTAGCTCAAATGTTTTATTATAAAATATTTAAGACATATAAACACTTGCCATATCTGCCTTTTTTTCTCTATATGACTATATAATTGTATCAATTTTATCAAGTTCTCTAAAGTATCCCGTTATACCTTAAGTGGCATTACCTTAAATCTGCATGTTAACTTAGAGAGTTTTTTTTCTTTTACTTTCTGTGGTCACAGGCAGGTTTGTCTTAGTTACGGCTGCTATAACAGAATACCCTAGACGGTGGTTTAAACAACAGAAATGTATTTCTCGCAGTTCTGGAGGCCAGGAAGTCCTAGATCAAAGTGCCAGCAGATCTGGTGTCTGGTGAGGGCGTTCTTCCTGGCCTTCTCTTTTTATTTTCATGTGGCAGAGAGCAGAGAGGAACAGCATATCCTCCCCTGCCTCTTCTTAGAAGGACACTAATCCCATCGTGAGAGCTCTACCCTCATTCATGACTGAATTTCCTCCCAAAGGCCCCGACTCTAAATACCATCACACTGGAGATTTAGGCTTCAATGTATGAATTCGGGGGTGGGGGTGGGGGACACAAACATTCAGTCCATAGAAAGGTTTTCTCTCGATTTGTTCATGGCCTTTTTTCACTGTTAGAATTTGATATATATATATATATATATATATTTTTCGTTTTCTCTCGATTTGTTCATGGCCTTTTTTCACTGTTAGAATTTGATATATATATATATATTTTTTTTTTTTTTTCCTTTTGTCTTTTTCGTGTCCGGCAACGGATCGCAACCCTCAGTGTCGCACCCGCACCGGACCGGGACTGGCAATGGGATCGCAACCCTCGGCGCTGCCCTCGCACCTCGCTCAGCCAGTGAGCGGCCGGTCTGTATGTGGGATCCGAACCCTCGGCGGGAGCGCCACCACGCTTCCCAAGCGGCGCACTATAGCAGTGCGCCACCGGGCCGGCCCTATATATATTTTTTTAAATGTCATTAGTACCCCAGGACCTCTTCAAAGGACCTTTTTTTCTTTTCTTATTTCTGAACACAGTACTCACCTCTGTTATGTTAGAACGTGCCCTATTTATGTGGTTTATCTTAAGTCATGGAACTTGGTGTTTACGTACCCTAGATTTCACAGATATGCAGTGAGAGCACACACTGATCTTTTGTTTCTCTTCCTTTCTTCCACGTACTTTTTAGCCACCTGTTTTCTTGTCCATTCCATGTTACCAGGCAAGATCTCTCTTGTGTTACATGGGAATTTGCGCCAGAGCATCTTTTCCTTATGCTTTTTGTGAGGCAGTGATTGATGCCTCTGGGTTTTCTTTTTAAGAAGAGTGTTTACTCTCAATTGTTTAAAAACTGCTTTATAATGTAATATGAAAGAAGATTGCAAGTCTCTCTGGGGTTTTGTACTGGGGAAAAAAGTTGGCTTCTGCAGTGAAGATTATTCATCTGAATAAATTTGCTGTAATAAGTTTACTGGATTTGCAGGGCCCATTGTAATACCACTGGCCATTGTAAGATGAATATCTGAACTGGAGAAGGAACAGGGCATCATCTGGGCCAGGTGTGGCAGGAGGTGACACCAGGGAGGGTTGGGCTGTGCAAACTCCAGGACACAGAGCTGTGGTTGGGGAAGAACAAGATCTGCACGTGAAGTCAAGGGGACCGTGGGCCAAGACTGAGGACTTTCTGTCCTCAGAAGTGTCTCTGGCAGGCAGGGGCAAGGGCTGGTGCCCTCTTTACAGCATTCCTCTTGGAGTTTGGAATAGTGGGGAGAGCTCCCTGTCTTCTCTCTCCTTAGGGGCTTACACTATGGGAACAACCTGTAAATCCAGCTCAAGGCACAGGACACGGCGTAGATCCCATGAGACCCTCTCCACAGGGACCCTAGAACATCTGTCATGAACCAGGAAGCCAGGTAGATGACTTTCTCTCTCCTTCAACTCCTCTTTTCCCCTCCCATCCACTCCTTCACTCCCCTCCTACTGCCAAGACTGCTCCCTACCCAGACCTACCTTACTGGGCTGCCCCCTACGCAGCAAACCTGCCCTTGACCGTCACTCAGCATGAGACTGGGCATCATCAGACACAGAAAATCAGGGAAGAACTTCAGGCAGAACCTGATCCACCAATTTTGTAGATGGTGTGACTGAGGCCCAGATAGGGAAGAGAGTTGCTCAAGGTCACAGATGAGTGCATAGGCCAAGATAGGCTAGGTTATGCTGCAGTAACAACCATCCTCCAAAGTCCCAGTGGCTCATGATGACAAAAGTTTATTTCCTGTTCTTGTTTCTTGTCTGTTGTGAATTGACTGTGAGCTCTAGTCCACATCATTCTCTCTTCCAAACTCATGCTAAAGGAGCAGCCATGACCTAGAATACTGTTGGTCCCTGTAGTAGTGGAAAAGAGAGAGCATGATGAATCGTACATTGGCTCTTAAAACATCTTCACAGACATAACGTGTCACTTTTTAGCATATTTCATTGGCCAAAGCAAGTTTCACAGCCATGCCCAATTTCAAGGGGGTGGGAGAGTGTTATCCTACCAAGGGCCTAGAAATAAGAAAAACGCAGTATCTGTGAACAGCTCTAATGCGTACCACGGAGTAGCAGAAAGCCCTAAACAACAGTGATTTAAACAAAACATAAGTGTATTTCTCCGTCATGTAATAAAAGTCTGAAGTCAGGGCACGTGGGCAGCTTTACCCTCCACCTTCCTCAGTGCTGGCCTCTACCTCATGATCCAGCATGGCTGCCCAAGGTCCAGCCATCACACCAACATTCTAGCCAACAGGAAGAAGCAAAGAAGGATAGACAACACTTTCACTTACATCCCATTGGCCAAAACTTAATTACATGGTTACATCTAACTGCAAAGGAGGCTGGGAAATTATTCTAGATGGCCATGGAACATTCAGGAGTTCTAGTACTAAAGAAGAAAGGAAGAACAGATTTGGGGGACAGCTAGTTGTCTCTGCCATAAGGTTAGCTCAGACTGAGAGCAGCACAAATGGTCCATGGAAACTAAAATGAATGAAGCATCCTCAGAAGACCATCTACAGAGGATGAACTAGACCATCCCAGAGAGCCAGGATACAGGTACAGAAGGGGGCGGGTTGCAGAAGAAGCAGACTGGTCTCTGGAACTGATCCCTTGGCAGAGACATCGAAACTCCATAGAGAGGCCATTTCTCTGCCTATTTTCTGCTGCTCAGATGTGGGGGGTAGTTCTTGACTGCCTCTTTGGCTTCCCCCCCAGCTCACCTTCCCCTCCTCTCACCTGCCTCTCAGCTCATCTGTACTCCAACTCACCTACCCCCTCAGCTCACTTGCCTACCCCATCTCTGCAGGGCCAGCTCCTCATGGAATCCATTATCCTCCAGCTGGGCACCTTGAACAAGTGGGGCTGGCTTCTGAGGCTGCTCAGTAAACACTCAGAATGGATGAGTGCCAAGGTGAAGTTCTTTCTCCCCACCATGGACCTGGGCTCCAGGAACGAGGCTTCGGACCCTCAGCAGAGGGTCATCCTCCAACTCAGCAAACTGCATGCCCAAGGCCTGGCCACCTGGCAGTCATTCATCCACTGCATGTGCATGGAGCTGGAGGTGCCTCTGGACCTGGAGGTGCTGCTGCTGAGTACTTGGGGCCATGAAGACGGTAAGGGCAGGCAGGAGAGGTGCAAAGCAGCCAGCCCAGCCCCCATGTCATGGGGAGCCAGGGGAGGTTCAGAGAGGCAGGGACCCACCTGAGTTATACAGAGGGGGTATGAACAAAATCCCGTGTTTCTGGGCACTTCCCAGAGCAAATTCCCCAATACCATGAAATCAGCTGGGCAAGGAAGAACCCTCCTTCCACATGGTCCCACCTCAGCTGCTCAAGTAGGCAGGGTGCAAGGAAAGGACCAAGTGACTCCTTCCAGCTAGAAAATTCCAAATAGCCCGTACTGCCCAAGAAGTTTCTTTTTGCAGTGTGTTTAGAAGCAGTCCCAGGGAAAACCCTTTTACTCCTGATAGGCAGGCAGATTGTGCTCTGTTCAGTTCAATGAGCATTTCTGGGCACCTTCTGTTTGCGTAGCACTGAGGGGAAATAGGACGTTGAGGGGCAACAGCATCCTTGGAGAGAAAGTGGAAACTCGCTCAAGAACTCTACCACAAAGCAGAATGTGGGAAATGCAGGGGGGCACATACACACACGTGCACACATGTGCACATACACACAATGCATGCATGTGCATAAACATGAATACATGCAGGTGTGCGCATGTCCATAAACACACACACTCAAGTGCATGCACACACACAAACACGCACACACATGCATATACACACACATTTCTGCCCACCACTGCCTTCAAGGCTCACCTCCAGCTTTCCTTGCAACAGACAACTGAGTGTAAACTTTATTTCTCCTCTGCTGGGTACCCACCCTGTGGGATAAACTCTGGGCCAGACACCAGGCCAGAGCTTACACCCTGGCATCCACCACATCTTCACAGCACATTGTATTCTCTCTTGCAGGGCTCCCCAGCCAGCTGGGAACTGGTGAGGAAAGCCAGCCTGGGACTCAGCTCCACCATGGTGAGAACTGGGGTTAGGGAGCAGCAGGAGGGCGGTGAACGTGGCTACCTCCTCACTTCCAACCTGCAGGAGGCTGGTGGGGGCTGGTCGCAGCCATCTCCTTCTCCTCTGTACCTGACCTGTCTGCACAGGTGCCATGCCCCTCACTGTGGCTCTCCGCCCCACTTCTTCCCACTCTGTGACTTTGACTTTCAAGGCTTCAGCCTGTCCAGCTGCCCCTAGGTGTCAGCCCTGGCCACCTCCAGAATCCCTTGCCTGGTTTCGCTGAGGGAAGCCCATTCTCACTTCCTTGTGCCCCAGTCTCAGGGCCTGGTCTCTCAGCCCCACAGTCAGACTTCACCAGGAAACCCTAACTCTCCCCCATTCATACACCTCGGGCCTAACACTGACCCACGATAGCTGTCCACACCCAGGCAGCCTCTGACTGATTTTCTGATGGAGATCTAAAGGGTCAGCCATCAGATGCTGACCACCTTACTGATTCAAGGGCCACACTCTAGTCTCAGAACCTTTATTTTTATAGAAATATTGACTTTTTCATTATAGCTGTGCATGGCAGTGACATCAGCAGGGTTAATGTTAACAGAAATCACCCACTTGTAATCCCAGCTCTCCAACAATTCAAAACTGTTTGTCCAAGTCCCAGGTCCTTTCTGGCCCTTAACTGTGATGGCATAATTGTCACATGGCTCTAACCAGGTCTGACTGATATTTGGCCAATGAATCCCTTGTGAATATATGACTTGTGAAAACATTGAAATAGTCTCAAACTGGCTCCAGCCCCCCTTTGGAACTCCCAGACCTCCCTGCAATGCAGCAATGAAAAAGTAAATCCCTGGCAGGGCAAGGGGCCCTGGGTCCCGCTGCAGGGCCTGCTCTGATTGGTCGCTAGTGCTGTAGGAGTATATCCTACTTTGCTTCTTAAAACTCTTTCCTAAGTCCTCTTTCCTTTCTTCCTCCCCTCCTTGTTTTCCTCCTTCTTTCCCAAACTCTTCCAAAAAGGCATGGAAGTGACTCTTGAAAATCCACGCAACAAGACAAGAACTCATGAGAGCACTGAGAGGAGTGGGTAGATGAGGGTGACAAAACACACCGACACAGGAGGGAGCCCTTTGGAAGCTTCACCTTTACAAACAGCAGTGGCCCCACAGAGCTTGGTCTTTCCCTGGTGGAGAGACAGCTATTTAGTGCTTGGGGCTGAGTGTTTCTGGGGCTGCTGGCTGTGGGTGCTGCTCCCTGCATCCTGGACTTGCATACCCCCGGGCCCAGAGCCTGCAGTCCTCCAGCCAGGGCCTGGAACCCCCTCTGCAAACAAGATGGTGTTGATGCAGGCTTTGCCCACTGCCTGCCTTCTCTCAGTCCCCTGGGTGTGGGTGTACTTGTCTGCCTGCCACCTGTTTGTGGAATGGAGCTCCACAAAGGTGCTGGGGACCCCTCAGTCCAGACCCCCAGGTCCACCCCTCTACCCCTTCCTTCACTCTTTCCAGGCCTCAAGCGCCCTCATCATAGCTGTGGGTCCCCACCCCACCGGAAGCAGAGCAGGAAGCAGAAGCTAGGTGGGTACCAGGTGGGGAGGGGCCCAAACACAGGGATTGGGTTACCTTGGGGACTCTGGACTCTGTCCACTGCTAAGAAGCCTCCATGGGCCAAGTGACTCTTGTTTTCCAGGAGAAAAGGGTTGGAGGTCTTGGGTGGGCAGAGGAGAAGACTGGAGCTGGCAGGGAAGGGCTTCCCCCATCAGGCTGCAAAGTGGCTCCTCCAAAGATGGCTCAGCTGAAAGAGCTGGAAGCACCTAACACACACACCCCTCCAGGGACACCAGGGAGGCAATCAGCATGACCTCGGGCCGGGGCCCTCCTTAGCCTATTTGGGGGTGAGCAGGGATGAGGAGTGGTGAAGATGCCTGAGAGGCCCTGGGAAGACATGGGGCTGCTGAGGGCCAGCCAGGCCAGGGGAGGAGAGGAGAGAGAACATCTCTTGTTCTTGACCAGTTGTTCCACTAACTGGAACCCCCCACCCCCACACCCACCACTACTGTCTACCATGGACATAGCCAGAGGACTCACATCTATAAAGAACAGGCCACTACCTCAGGCCTTCCCAGTCTCCCCAGCAGTGGCCCCTTCCCCTGCATCTCCTGAGACCTCCCAATGACCCAGGAATTATAAGGTTAACACCTGGCACGGTAGTGGCCCAGCTCCACAGTTCTGCTTGTTCAGTACCTAGGCCCGCCAATTACTCCTACCTTGCTGTTTAGATGCTTCTGAAGAACCGATTTCTCCTGGGAATTTGGTGGCACAAGAACCCCCCATTGTGTTCTTGGCACCACCCCCTCTCAACTCCCCATACATACACAGCTGGAGCTAGAAGCTCCCAACAGCCCAATACTGGAATAAGGGGACATGGGTGGAGGGCTGAGGGCTCCTACCCTCATGCCATCTCCCTGTCCCCTGCAGAGTTGGCCAAGAGGTACCTGCAGCTCCTGAGGAGCTCTGCCCAGCAGCGCTATGACAGTGGACTCCCTGGGTCAGGGCACCCCCTAGCCCTCCACCAGGCCTACGTCCCCCCAATCCTGAAGTGGAGCCGGGCCACAGCACACTTAGACACTCAAGAGGGGGCTGTTATGGGGGACCCCAAGGCAGAAGATGGCACTGATGTGAGCATCTGGGATCTCTTCAACTCCAGGACCAACAAGGGCCCAAGGGTGACAGTGCTCTTGGGGAAGGCTGGCATGGGCAAGACCACACTGGCCCACCAGCTCTGCCAGAGGTGGGCCAAGGGCCAGCTGGACTGCTTCCAGGCCCTGTTCCTTTTTGAATTCCGCCAGCTCAACCTGATCAAAAGTTTCCAGACGCTGCCCCAGCTCCTTTTTGATCTGTACTTGAACCCCACGTCAGACCCTGATGCTGTCTTCCAGTACCTGGAGGAGAATGCTGATAAAGTCCTGCTGATCTTTGATGGGCTGGATGAGGCACTTCCCTCCTGTTCCAACAGGGAGACTGTGGGGCCTGATGAACCAGGTCCACCCTTTACCCTCTTCTCTGGTCTCTGCCGTGGGACCCTCCTGCCCGGCTGCTGGGTGATGGCCACCTCCCGTCCGGGAAAGCTGCCTGCCTGCCTGCCTAGGGAGGCAGCCATAATCCACATGTGGGGCTTTGATGGGCCGAGGGTGGAGGAGTATGTGAGTCACTTCTTCAGCAACCAGCCTTTGCAGGAGGTGGCACTAGCAGAGTTTCGGGAAAATAGACATCTCCGGAGCATGTGCGCAGTACCTATACTGTGCCAGGTCGCCTGCCTCTGCCTCCGCCATCTGCTTGCTGGCACCTCCCCAGGCCAATCTGCAGCTCTCCTGCCCACTGTGACTCAGCTGTACCTGCAAATGGTGCGCGCCCTCAGTCCCCATGGATTCCTGCCCACCACGCCCCTTCTAGGCCTTGGGGAGGTGGCCCTGAGTGGCCTGGAGACCGGGAAAGTTATCTTCTATGCAGAAGACATCCCTCTACCCATGATGGCCTTTGGGGCAGCCCACAGCTTGCTGACCTCCTTCTGCATCCACACAGGCCCCGGGCACCAAGAGACAGGCTATGCTTTCACCCACCTCAGCCTGCAGGAGTTTTTTGCTGCCCTGTACCTGATGGTCAGCCCCAGGGTGAGCAAGGACATGCTTGAATGCCATGTCACCCTCAATTCCCGCTGGGTGCTTCGCACCAAAGCTAGACTGAACCTTTCAGACCACCTCCCCACCTTCCTGGCGGGCCTGGCATCCTGCGCCTGCCGTCCCTTCCTCAGCCACCTAGCACAGCAGGACGAGGCCTGGGTGGGCACCAAGCAGGCTGCTGTTGTGCAGGCATTGAGCAAGTTGGCCACCCACAAGTGCAAGGGGCCGAAGCTCATAGAGCTGTGTCACTGTGTGGTTGAGACTCAGGAACCTGAGCTGGCTGGTCTCACTGCCCAAAGCCTCCCCTATCAACTTCCTTTCCGCAATTTCCCACTGACCTGTGCTGACTTGGCCGCCCTGACCAACATTCTGGAGCACAGGGATAGCCCCATCCACCTGGATTTTGAGGGCTGCTCCCTGGAGCCCCACTGTCCTGAGGCTCTGGTAGGCTGTGGGCAGGTGGAGAACCTCAGGTAAGTAAGGATGGAGAAGGACCGGGAAGGGAACTGGGCTTTTGGAAGAGTAGAGGCTAACCAGTCTGGCAGACCTCTGCTGAGGGTGATGGGATAGAGATCTTGAATATCAGAACAGAATGGCCCTGACTGCTGCTTAGCCTGTGATATTGAGGGGGAAGCTTCATGCCTCGACAGGACCTCTGCAAGCCAGTTGGGCCCTCATCCTTTCTGTGGTTTCTGGAACCTTAGTCTCTGTCAGTCATGGGCTGGAGCCTCTGATCCAGGCTGTGCTGCTATGAGCAGATAATGTAACTTCTCTCAGCCAAAATTTCTTCATCCCTAAAATGAATCTGTAATACCTAACCTGTAGGGTTGTTGTGAGAACAAAATAGAATAATGCATGAAAAACACTTCTCAGCACAGTGCCTGGCACAGAACAAAGGCTCAAATGTGAATATTAGCCAGAGCAAAGTCTAGGCTGCAGTGACAAAGAAATCTCCCCAAATACAGTGGGTTAAATAATGTAGAATTTTATTTCTGTCTCATGGAAGAGTCAGCAGTAAGTGGCTCAAGTCAGTGGGATGGCCAGCTCCATGCGATCATGCAGGGACCCAGGTCCATTCAATTGCTGCTCTGTCATCCCCTTGAGCACCCTATCTGCAGGGTCAAAGCTGTGTCATGGACATATCGGTGCTCTGGCTTGGGGGAAGAGAAAGAGCACAGAGGAGACATGCTCAATGTGATAAAGTTTAGTCCTGGAACTAGGACTCATCCCTTCTACTCACATTCCATTGATGAGAACCTAGTCACATGGCCACACTGAGCTGCAAGGGATGCTGAGAAATGTCATCTGTGGCTGGAAACCATGTCCTCAGCTACTGCTATGAATGAAGTGGAGAATGAGTTCTGTGGATGAAGCAGTCTCTGCCACAATATGTATATGTTATTATCACAACAACTTAGACAAGAACTACTACTACTGTATTAAGCCCCATCTGTCAGAGGAAGGGGTGATGATGACCTCTAAGCCCTGCCCACCACTGATTCTCTGCCACTTTGCCTCTCCCATGGCAGCTTTAAGAGCAGGAAGTGTGGGGACGCCTTTGCCGAATCCCTGTCCAGGAGCTTGCCAACAATGCAGAGCCTGAAGAAGCTGGGGTGAGCCAGAGCTTGGAAATAAGAAGGGTCTTCAGCCAGGGATGCCTGGCACTCTCCTCCCCTCCCCCAATCCTACACTGGGAATATTCCTGGCCCATCCTCTTCCCCATTTCTTCCCACCATTTTTGCTTACTCTGTAGGTTAACAGGAAGTAAGATCACTGCCCGAGGCATCCACCACTTGGTGCAGGCTTTGCCTCTCTGTCCACAGCTGGAAGAAATCAGGTGAGTGATCTCCAGGAGGGTTCATTAGCTGAGGACAGGAGTCACTTCCCAGGTTCCAGGGCCCCCCTAGGGCCTGTGCTGAGTCCTGCATAATCCATCAGTATCTGACCAGTAGTTTTTCAATGAGACCTGGAGAGGGAAGGCATCAGCCCAAGAACTGGGTGGGGCCGAATCCAAATGCAAGTCTCCCAAAGAACAAGCCTTCTGTCATCTAATATTTTGGGCCATCTTGGAGAAGCATGAATTTTGAGGCTCCCTCCCCTTTCTGTGACCTGGGAGAAGGTATGGCCGTGTGTAGGCAGTAGTCAGCACCGTGGGTACACGTGAATGCATAAAACACACACATGCCTTCATATTCGTGCACACATGTTATATTAGTCCGTTTGCATTGCTATAACAGAAATACCTGAGACTGGGTAATTTATAAAGAAGAGAGATTTATTTGGCTTATGATTCTGGGACAGCTGCATCTGGTGAGGGCTTCAGGCTGCTTCTACTCATGGTGGAAAGTGGCAGGCAGCTGGCAGGTACAAGCAGATCACATCTTTTGAGAGGAAGAAAGAGAGAGAGGGGGAGGTGCCAGGGTCTTGTAAACAACCAGCTCTCAGGGGAACTAATAGAGCAAGAACTCACTCAGGACCCCCACCCCCAAGGGAGAGCATTAATCCATTCATGAGGGATACACCCCCGTGACTCAAACTGCCACACTGGGGATCAGATTTCCATGAGTTCTGGGAGGACAATACACCCAAACTCCATCACATGTGTACACACTTTCACAGAAGTATACTCATTCAAGTATAAACCCCACACATGCTCATTCATAGGTGTGCATGTGTGTGCAGCACACACGTGCACACTTAGATGCATGTACACATTTAGATACAAGCACACACTAACTAAGGAAATAGTCAAAAATATACTCCTGGAATTGAGTGCCCCAGGGAGGGGTGGGGCTAGGGACCCTCCTTAGTAACTCTCTGGCAGGACCCCTGCTAGTTTATTTGGCACCTTTATGAGATTTTTAAAAGGTGTCCCTTTGTCCAGGCAGATGCAGCCTGGCACTGGGTTGCACCACTTGTTGAATGAGCATAAGCTGGACCACAGCCACTATTGTCCCCTTGGCTGGGTGCCTTTGTACAGTGATCACTCCAGTAAGAACAAAGGTTTGAATATTTTGAACTTGTTGACACTTTTCTTTCCTGATATTGAGAGTGACCTTAGTCTTTTCTCCCATCACCCACCATTGCTCTCAATCAGCCTCGCACCCCTGAGCTCATCTGTCCCTCTAACTAGGAATCCAGGCAGGGCTGGGTTGTGGACCCCATTTGACAGGTGGGGAAAGTGAAGTCAGAGAGGAAGGTGCTTGGCCTAGGGCTCTGGGTAAGTCAGGGCCAGGGCTGAGGCAGGAATCAACATCTCCATATCCAGTCTAGACTTTACTCATCACCTGGGAGCCAAGAGGCCCTGGTGACCTTGGTCCTTAGGCACAGCCCAGGCACAAGCCCTGGGAGCAAGGTGCTGGGCCCCCACATTCCACCTCATGAAGCCTTCATAGTCTGTCATCTAGAGCCCTTGGGCCACCAGGCAGAAACTCCTCCATAGGCACTGAATTGGGATGGAAGTGAGGCCAGTAGAGGACCTTTCCTCCCTGCTATGCCTGCTGGATGCAAGGGAGCAGGCCACCAACTCTGTCTGGGCTCCTGTCTTGTGTCTCAAACATGAGGGTGGTCATGCCTGTCACCTGCCAGCTGGGGTTTCCAAGTTCCTCCACCCCAGGGCTGAGGGTGTGGGCCTTGGTCTCCCTGCAGTTTTCAGGACAACCTACTCAAGGACCAGGAGATGCTGACCATCGCAGAGGTACTCCCTCACCTGCCGCTGCTCCGGAAGATTGAGTAAGTGGTCTTTCCACTCCTCCTGCAGATCAGTTCCTCTCCCTGTTTGAGCCATACCCTTCCCTTGCAAGGTGAGGAACATCTGGGGCCCATGAGGTGGAGGATTCACTTCTGACACTTTTGCCACAATCATGCAGCCTGAGCCACAACAACATCTCCGTGTCTACCCTACTCTGCTTGGCAAAGATGGCAGTCGCATTCCCTACCGTCAAGATGCTGCAGGTCAAGTAAGCAGAAGGAGTGTGATCCTGGCCTTCAGAATCTTGAAAGAAAGAGAGGGGAAGTGGGGGATGGGGAAAGGATGAGACCCCTAGTCTGTAAGATCTATGGGTGCATTTCTGAGTCTGTTTTACTTACGACTGTGTCTCCAGAGCCTAGCTCAGGCCTAGCACCTGGCACTCAATAAATAGTAAATGAATGGATAATGTAAAGATGGATGGATGGATGAAGGAATGAATCAACAAATCGAGGATGCATAGGCATAGCCGAGAGAGTAATTAGCTGCGTGTCGCTCTCCATGGTACTGAACCAGCGCCGACTATTTGGATCTGGGGTAGATTAGGTGTCATGCTTTTTAACCCTACGGTGTTAGTAATTCCTATTTTAAAAGCTTTCGGCATTCCTAATTTTTATTATATTTCATGTAGAAAATTTCTTTATGACGTTTTAAGACACTCTTGCAGGATTCATCAGGCAGAATTTTACATGCCCGATTTGGATCACTTTTGCCAGTTCTGTTATTTTCTCTATCAATCACAAAATCAGCTTTCTCTGGATGTTTGGGTGGGAAGGGGTGTGCAGGTGGGGAGTTATGTGCTGGTTTTCAGCCCATGGGATTCATGACTCTGTATCTGACCCCGCAGGGAGACGGACCTCATCTTTCTCCTTTCCCCGCTCACAGAGACAGCTGAAGTGCTACAAAGGTAAGAAGCCAGGGAGGCGGTGGTCTGGGTCCACTTTGAGAAGCGATCTGGGCTCAGGCAGTTGAGGGGAAGGGTAGCCAAGAGATCCTAAGAAGAGCTGGGATGTGGGGATTCTTCCTGCTGCTGCCATGATGAGGAATGACTGTTCAGAGTCAGCAAAGGATTTTAACTTCCTTTAGTATATCTGAACCACATCTGGCCTCTGATGAGGGAGCATCTTCAGAAGTCTCAGAGTGAGCCAGACCCTCAGGGAGGACATGAAGATACTGTCATACCAGCATCACTATGTCTGGGAATTCTGGGAAAACTCAAAGCTAAAAAAAAAAAAGGAGACTTAAATGAGTTAATACATTAAAATGCTTAGAACACTGCTGGCATGCAGTTGGCACTCAAATGCTGGCTATTCCAGTTGTGCATGGATTCTAGCTTGGCCAGTCTTGGATGGATGAAGAAAGAGAAGCTGGTTTCCCTGAAAGAATATTCCAGCTGTGCTCACCAACTCCTCCCTGGGTGAGACTCAGAGACAGATGATGTCGTGTGTCCTTGAGCAATTTATTTCCTTGCCCAAAGGCCTCCGTCTTCACCTGTATAATGACTTGGTAGGACCAAAGTTGCTTTCCTCTCTCACTGTCTAGAGCTGTAATGCCCAATATGATAGCTACTAGCCACATGTGGCTATTTAAATATAAATTAATTAAAATTTAGTAAAGTGAGATCTTCAGTTCATTAGTCACATGAGCTGCACTTCAAGTGCTCAGTGGCCATGGGTGACCAGTGGCTCCTGTAGTGGATTGCACAGATGCAGAACACTTCCATTATCACTGAAAATTCTGATAGATAGCACTAATCTAGAAATCTGAAAACCTGGTTCATAATGCCCTAGCTTCCCTGCAGCCCTCAGCCCTCCCCTAGGCCAGCAGGAGAGAGTCTGGAAGTAAGGTGGTCTCCCACAGCCTGGACCCACTTATGTATAGCTCATGCTCCCTGCTTTCTGAACCAGAGACAGCATGGCTACAAATGGAGACCATCACATCATAGACAACAGCAACTTCTGTTTACTAAGCTTCAATTTTGTGCCTATGCTGGGCACTTGAACATTGTACATTGTCTCATTCAGTCCTTCAGGCACTCTGTGTTAGATAGGGTCACCCCATTTTCGAAAAGGGAAAATGGAGGCTCAGATAGGTGAAGTGACTTGCCCAACGCCACATGGCTGTGCATGACAGAGCCAGAATTTGCATAAAGGGTCCATTTGACCTCAAATCTTTTGCTCCTGCTGCTTTGCTAAATAGAGCCCTGAGCACCTTTGAGTGACTGTCTTTGTAACTCATTTCACTGTGGGTTGTGCTGTAGGTCTTCAGCCTCTAGCAGAAAGGGAAGAGGCTTGGTCCATCAGGCCCTGGACTTCTCTGAGTCCAGGCCAATGTTTGATTTGTTCTTTCAGAGCTCCAGACTTACCAGAAAATGACAGCCCGAGGAAGGAGGCTCAGAGCAGAAGCCTGACACTCAGGTACCTCAATGGGATCCATGGCCTTAGGAAGATGGACGATATGGGGGAAGGATCCCTTCCCAGGGGAGAAATAGCAGGGGCAGGGAGGATGAAACGAAAAGTAGATGTGAGGCAGGGAAAGGACACAACCCATCCTGGCTTAAGCACCTGTCATAACAACAATAGTTATAATTTAATGGATGTTTGGTATATGCTGGGCACTGTGCTGAATGTTTTATAGTTGTTACCTCATTGTAATCTTTTTAGAGGCTCTGTAAAGCATACATTATTATTCCCATTTGAAAGAGGAGGAAACTGAGTCTCAGACAGGTTAAGCGCCTTGTCCAAGATCACCCAGCTACTAAGAGGTGTGGCCAGGATTAGACCCCAGGTCTGGTGGTCTCCTGACAACCCCAACCTTGAAGCTGGAGGAGCAGGGCATGGTGTAGCTTTTTTCACTGAGCCTCTCTGTCCCCCACCCCTACCCCAGACTCCAGAAGTGTCAGCTCCAGGTTCATAATGCAGAGGTCCTCATAGCCCTGCTCCGGGAAGGTCCCCACCTGGAAGAAGTGGAGTGAGTATCATGGGAGGCCCTGGGAGGGATCCAGGAGGGGAAGGGGAAGAGTGGCCAGGGCCTCACCTTTGGGTGGGTGGTGTGGGGGAGTGGCCTGCTGCCTCGTGGAGAATTTAGGGGAATAAGATCATCATAACAGCTGCCACTATTTAGCACTTGTCCTGTGTCAGGTGTTGAGCTAGAGGCTTTTACAAATATCCTCTCATTTAATCCTCACATCTCTGTGATGGAAGTACTGTTACTATCCACACTTTTAAAAGAGGAAATTAAGCCACAGAAAGGTAAATTTGCTCAAGGACACATAGGTAGGAAGAGTCCAGGAAGGACAGGGTTCAAGCCCAGACAAGGCTGGCTCCTAGCCTCATCCTCATATCCATTGCCACCTCTGTCATTGAGATCTGCAAAGAAACCCCACCACACCTGGGTTTGTTTTCCAAACCACAGGCCCTGAGGGTTCCCCCACCCTGTGTCTTTCTCCCAGAGTAAAGAGGAAACCTTATACAATTTTGGAACACATATTAATAATATATCCACATAACTCAAGGAAGGTCAAACATCATTTCTTGATTTGATAATGCTTTCTATATAATTTAACCTATCAGATAAGCCCAGTTGATTTTAATCTCTCTCTTTTACAAGTCTTTTGGAGCATCTCAAAGTTAGTTAGAGGTCAAAAAGACAATTCTTAGAATCTGATTTTGGGAAGTTTGTCAAATATCAAAGGTTTAAAACACTTAACGAAATAGAATCATAAATCATCATGAAATAAAACCAAAGTGACAAAAGATTTCAAAGGCACAAAGCACAAAAAATTTGTCTTGATAAAATACGGAATCTGTTTCCTAGGCCAGTTACCTAAAAGGTAAGGAAAAATCTCTCACAACTTCCTATTAAGAGCAGATCAGTGCTTCAAGAAAACCCTGTTGTTCCAACACAGGGGAGAAAACTCAAGCCTTGCATCAGTGTGCTTTTGATAATAATGTTCAATTTTTACAAAATTTATAAACAATCCCCTTCTAATTTTAGCCAACTTGGTTACACATACAATTGCTTTCACAAACATTGTACCTTAGGACAAAGATTACTGTCCTCTTTCCCTTATCATTTGGAATACACAAAGTTCTCTCTCATGCAATAGGAAGAATTACTTTCCCTAAATCTATATTTTGAAACAATCTTTAAATAACCTCTGCATTAGACAAAACTGCTCCTTTGTTTGTTTGTTTGTTTTTGACCGGTAAGGGGATTGCAACCCTCGGCACAGTGTGGTCAGCACCACGCTCAGCCAGTGAGCGCACCGGCCACCCCTGTATAGGATCCAAACCCACAGCCTCGGCGCTACGAGCGCCACACCCTCCCAAGTGAGCCACGGGGCTGGCCCAAAACTGCTCCTTTTTAACAAAAATATATCCTCATGTCTTTTAACAATTTCTCACTGAAAACACATCTTACTTTCCTTGTACACTTTGCATACAGAACTGTTTTACTATTTTTAATAGGTTTGTTGTTGTTGTTTGTTTTTGTTTTTGTTTTTGCAGCTGGCTTGGTAAGGGGATCTGAACCCTCAACCATGCTCTAACCAAGTGAGTTAACCATCTGATAGTTTTAGTTACCTATATTAGAATTTTTAACTCTTAGTAAACTTAAATTTATTAAACACTAGGAAGTAAGTAATTTTTTTTTTTTTTTTTTTTTTGTCTTTTGTCTTTTTCCGTGTCCGGCAACGGATCGCAACCCTCAGTGTTGCCCCCGTACCGGACCGGGGACCGGCAACGGGATTGCAACCCTTGGCGTTGCTCCCGCGCCTCGCTCAGCCAGTGAGCGGGAACCGGTCTGTATGTGGGATCCAAACCCTCGGACGGGAGCGCCGCCGCACTTCCCAAGTGGCGCACTATCCAGTGCGCCACCGGGCCGGCCCGGAAGTAAGTAATTTTGAACTGTTTTGAGTATTTATAGATGAAAACCACTTCCTAATTTCTGGAAAGACATAGTCTCTCAGTTTTTTAAACGATCTAAATATATTTAGCTTTTTCTTACCATGTGAAAACACAATGTCAAAGTACATAAACTTAGACTTATGTTTAACCATTAATGTGTCAGTATTTTAACTTAGAAATGACTCAGATATCTTATGATTACCTATTACTTAATTTGACACAACATGATTATAAGATTTTAATTTACTGAAAAGATTTCGGAAACTATGACAGATTTATTTATAAACGTTTACCCTATTCACATTTCCTTAATTTTCTATTCTTTTTTTTTCTTTTCTGATCGGTAAGGGGATCACAACCCTCGGCACGGTGTTGTCTGCACCGTGCTCAGCCAGCGAGTGCACCAGCCATCCCTATATAGGATCCGAACCCGCGGCCTCAGTGCTACCAGCGCCACACTCTCCCGAGTGAGCCACGGGGCCAACCCCTAATTTTCTATTCTTTTTTTTTTTTCCTTTTTGTCTTTTTCCATGACCGGCAACGGATCGAAACCCTCAGTGTCGCGCCCGGACCGGACCGGGACCGGCAACGGGATCGCAACCCTCGGTGTTGCACCCACACCTCGCTCAGCCAGTGAGCGGCCAGTCTGCATGTGGGATCCGAACCCTCAGCGGGAGCGCCACCGTGCTCCCAAGCAGCGCACTGTAGCAGTGCGCCACCAGGCCGGCCCTAATTTTCTATTCTTAACAATTATATTTGAACTGCTTGTAAAAAATAAAGCTGGTCATTTACATTATTATTTTATTCTTTTGTGAAAGTGAAACCAAGGTAAACCTGCATCAGTTAGTCTTAACCAAGGCCTTGGAGATACTGGACACAGGTACACTCCTCAATATTCCTTCTAGATGTCCTGGGTCCATGTGTCACCCAGGGACCACTTGGATTTACACACCAGGTGCAGATCCTAAGACAGAGAGCCTGGATAATATGGCCCCTTCTAGCATGCCAGGAGGCAGAGCTGGGACAGGGAGGATGAGACCATATTGGGCTGGGCTTTGTCCTGCAGCTGGTGGCCCATGTACTATGGACATATATGTGCCCAAGCCTCACCATAGCCACCTGTCTAGCCCCCTGAATTCGGAGGCTCATAACCAGAGACAGAAGCTCACAAAAAGATGTGTGCAAGGCTTTAGGGAAAGCCCATGAGCCAGTTCTCAGAGCTTTTAGTTCACAAACAAACTAAGCCAGTATCAAAAATATGACGGAGCAAGTTTTATGACCTTAAAACATCTAATAGAGACAGCATTATCTGCTTGACCAAGAGACCTAGGCAAATATGTCTAAATTAAATTCAGAAAAGCTAATTTCAAAAAATACTTATACAAAAAAATTTGAATTTTTAGATTCTGAAAACATTTCTATTTTATCTTACCAACAATTTTTAAGACTCGTTTTATTTACCAATGATTACTAGTTATATGAACTTGAAAAGCATTTAGGCTTAGTTACTCAATTTGGGAGTGCATATTATTTCTAAGCCAATTTGGTCCATGAGGACAACATACAAATACACGTACAGGCATAAGCGTACATGTAGACACAACATATCACATACGCATAAAAACTCAGGCAGAAACAAATAAAGATCTTAAAGATTTCATTAAAATTTTAGCCATGAGATGGGTACAATATAATTTAAAACAACAGTTGGGAGCTGGCCAGTTAGCTCACTTGGGAGAGCATGGTGCCAGTAACACCAAGGTCAAGGGTTTGGATCCCCTTACAAGCCAGCCACCAAACAAACAAACAAATAGTTGGATTCAAATTGTCTCTATAAACAGAACAAGTTAAAGCTTGTGTGCCCCACGTTGCTGAAGCCCTCACTGAATTTGAAAGAAAGCAAGGTAGCAAATTTACATCTCAAAGCACAGAGAAAGAATGTGAGCCTTTCCAAGGAGTTGTGTCAGAGGAGACCCAGAGTAAGATTTCAAAAAGTAGATGCCAAAACAAAATAATGGAATTTTGCCACAGGATTTTATAAGGAAATGCACAGATGAGCCTAGAAAAAAATTAAGAAATCTGTTCAAAATAACCACTTGGATGCCAGAATGTCATATTTTGGAGACCGATTTAGTTTCATGAGCAGTCTTTCTTAATTTTGCTTATTTCTTAATTAGATTACTCACTTCAGGGCCAAGAAAGCATTTTTATACCTGCTTGACCTGAAGGACTAACTTTTATAAATACTTTATCTAGCTTTTATTTTGCCTTTGGAGTGGCATAGTAACTGAACAAAAAAGTTGGCAGATTTAATTTTCTCATCAATTAGAAGCTTAAAGCTTTTTGGGGAGTTGTCTATGAACAGCCTTTTAAAGAGGAAAAAAGTATCGGTCAGCCACCAAAATAAATAAATGGGGAAAAAAGTTTTTGAAATCTTTTTAGAGGATTCTGGATAGGCCTACTTTAGGTATCCTTATTTTAAAATACACTCTAGCCCTTCCAAGACCCAGAGCCACTCCCGAAAACAGCCAAAAGAAAGACTTAGATAATGCCTTGAGAGCTAGCAATACTCTGGACTAGCCACAAATGGAATGCAACCTACATTTTTGTCCAGCCATATTCTTGGGGCTCCTAACCTTTTGTTTGGCTGCCTGCACACACAGGCCCGATAAATTGTGTATCCCAGACAGATAGAGAGTCATACCAAGTTCTCAGGACAAAGTACCAGACAAACAGGAAAGCAAAAGCTGTTTATGGGAGGGAAAAGGTCAGTCTTAAAGTGCAGTGTTGTTTATCTGGAATGTTCTACATAATGGCCATCATAGTTCTGGATTATTTTTAGTAATATTTTGCCATTTTTGTGAATATTTGCAGCTTCTGGAGCCATAATTCTTATACATGAAAAAGGCAGACATACTGGAAGGCAGAGTATCCAGATCTTTAGAAGTTAGGGAGGGTGGATCTTGGTTTTCTCAGAGCCAAGATGGCTTTGGGTCTGAGAGCTCCTTGACCCACTTGGCCAATGATTTTCATTTCTGTCTGACCCAGTCAGACACCTCAGGCCTTCCTTATCTAAGTGCTCAGTATAAAAAGGAACCCACATGCCTGTGAATTCTGAAAGCCAGAGTTCACACTCGCTGCATAATAGCCACTTACCACAACTGCCATCAGTTACCTCTAAAACTGCAGCTCTTCTTGCCAGTGACTCATCAAACACTGCAAACCCAAAGGTCATGTGCTCTGCCACCACACGAGCTAACTCTTGGTACCCCACAAATGCTCTCTCACAGTGCAAAGTAACCCATGGCACCTCAAAAAGTCAAGAGATCAGGGAGCTCAGATGCAAAGGGAGCCGAGCTCAGACCTGAGAGGCACTTACTCACAAGTCTCATGGCTCCGTGGGGAAGACAGGGGCTCTCACCCCCAAAAAGAGGGCATTATTGGCACCTTCCTGTATTTCTCAAGGGTCTCTCAGGGTCATCAGCAGTATCCTTCAGGTCCCTTTGTGGTCATCAGAACTGTCAAAGGGTAAAATTACAGCAAATTCAGTTAAAGATCTCAATTGGTTTTATTGCAATTCTAGAATTGGGCAACATGTCATTCCATCAAATAGAGTAAATCAGTATCCTTCAGGTCCCTTTGTGGTCATCAGAACTGTCAAAGGGTAAAATTACAGCAAATTTAGTTAAAGATCTCAATTGGTTTTATTGCAATTCTAGAATTGGGCAACATGTCATTCCATCAAATAGAGTAAGCGTTCCATGAGCCAAGCAGAAGAGGGTGGTTTTATAGACAGAAAAGGCTGAAGAAAGCAGAAACAAAGAACAAAAAGTGGACTGGTCATTTCAAAGTTACTTTCCTTGTAAGGTGGGGACAGGGAGACAGAAGAGAAAAGTAACAGATTACTTAACATTAGGTTGCTTCAGGCTGTCCTTTTTGCAAGGATAAAGCAGAGAGAACTTCATTGTCACACTACTGAAGATTTAAACTAGCCTGTTTAGGAAATTGGCTCTCTCCTTCTCCCGATTTCTTGGAAGGTCAGACCACAACCTAAGTGACTGGAACTTAGCGGGGGTGACTCCATTTTTATTTTTAGTCTGGTCTTTTGGGGCCTGGTGCAGGAACTTAGTCAGAAATAATGACCTAATTTTTATTCAACAAATACCATGATGTTTTGAGGTGAGTGGTCCCACTCCAGGGTGAGATGGACAGGGTGATCACAAAAGCTTGGTGATCAGCTTTTGAACCAAACTTGAACACTCCCACCCACCTTGCCACCCTAAGCTTGCCCCTCCCCCTGTGCTCTCACTGCAGTAATGGTCCATCACCTACCTGGTTACACAGACCACACGTCTCACAGCCACCTTGCTCTCCCCCCATAGCCAGTCCACCCTGACCGACTTACCTCCTAAGTAGCTCTCAAAACAGTACCCTTTTCTCCATCCTCTTTTCATCCACCTCCATAGTCAAACCACCCTCATCACTCACCTGGACGACCCCATGAGCCTCCTCACTGGTTTCTCTGCTTTCACCCTGGCCACCTCCCCCTGGCAGAAGGCAAACTGCATTTCACTGCTGTCTGCCCCCTTCACTCCTTCCCACTGTTCAGGATAAAGCCCAAATCCTAAAATTCTGGGTGGCCCAGATCCTGCCCACAGCCTCCCAAGCCCTACTTAACCCCATCCTCCCACTCAATCTCTAGTGCAGACACACTGTCTCCCTTTCAGGTCCTCATATGTGCTGTGCTGCGGGACCTTTGAATGTGATGTTCCTACTACCAGGAATACCCTTCCCCTATCTCTCCTCTACCTTTTTTCGATTGAACTCCTAGTCTTTCTAGCATGTAGCTCAAACACCAGAGCAGCCTTCACTGACCCCCCCAGACTAAATCAGATGCCTCCTCCTATAATCATGAAGTTTATCACCAGAAGCAATTACTTAGGTTGCAGCATAAAGGACCCCAGTCGAGGGTGGGGTCTGGAAGTCAAACTGTCTGGATTCAAATCCAGGTCCACCCTTGAGCAAGCACCTTAACCGTTCTGTGCCCTGGTCTACTCATCAGTAAGATGAGGATAATAATAGTGCTTCCTCCCTAGGGTCGTAGTGAGGATGAAATACACAGATGGTTGTAGAAGCACCTAAGACATTGTCAGATATGTAATATGCAGTCTGTCAACATTAGTTATTATTAAGGTTCCTTATGGGAGTGATGCCTTTGCTAAAGTCAGCAAGGGGCTGCGTGAGTGCTGGGGGTTGAGGGGGGACTCCAGACCAGCAACGCAAGGCATCAGGCCCCTCTGTCTCAGCCTCTCAGGGAACCAGCTGCAAGATGAAGGCTGCTGTCTGATGGCAGAAGCTGCACCCCAGCTGCACATCGCCAAGAAGCTGGAGTGAGTTGCCTGCCCCACGTTGATCCCAGCTGGTTCCTGCTGCCGCAGGACCCCATGCCCACAGTCAGCAATAAGAGTGCTGACCCACCAACCGCCCCTACATTCCCCCAACTCCAGCAAAATCAGGATGGTTTCACCTTGCCTTCCTTGCCTTTGCCTCTGCTGTGAGCCACTGTCTTAGTTAAAATTATTTAGCCCCTTGCACATGTAGAGCATGTTCATTTTCCACCAACGACCTCTGTGCAAGTTCATCATCCTTGCAATGGCCCTGGAGTGGGGTGGGTTAGGGTTAGGGTTAGCATTGGGGCAGCATTGGGGTATTGGGTGGATGGGTGCTGGAATGTTGGACTGGGATATTGGAGTAGGAAGTGGTACATTAGGGTGGGGGCACAGTGTTGGGTTGTTGGGGTGGCGAGATGGAAAGAAAAGGTATTAGGCTGTTGGGTGTGCTGTGGAGTGGGGTGGTGGTGGTGTTTGGGTGGGGTACGTTGGGGTCTTCGGATCAAGTGTGGATTGGGGTGGGGAAGTGTTGAGGCTGGGTAGCAGTGGTTTGGGCCTTGGCTTTGGATTTAAATTCTGGCTCTGTTACTTAGTAATGGTGTGACCCTGGGAAAGTAATTGAATGTCTCTGGGCCTCAGTTTCCCCATATGTAAAATAGAATTACATGAAATTGTATATATATGAAACCCTTAGTACAGAGCATGGTGCAGTCAGTGCTCAGAAAATGGTTATCTTATAGATGAGGAAACTGAGGCTCAGAGAGGTGAAAACACTGAGTGGGTTCTTACCGCTCAAGCGGGAGAACTTCATTCTCTGAGTGGAGCAGGGGGTCATATGTCTCCTGGCTCACTTACATGGGCCAGAATCCTTTGAGAGCCCCTGGTTGGGAACCCAGGACATCATGACAGTGACAGCCAGCAAGCTGCTGAGGGGCTGGAGCTATGTAGGGCTGGGGACTCCCACAGCCTGCTGATGGCTGCCTTTCCTCCTCTCCACAGCCTCAGTGACAACGGGCTCTCTGTGGCTGGGGTGTGCTGTGTGCTGAGAGCAGTGAGCACGTGCTGGACCCTCACAGAGCTGCACATCAGGTGGGAGCTTCCCGTGGACCACAGTCATCCACCCCCCTCCAGCCCAGAGCTTTGGGTTCTCTCATCATGCTGTCTAAAGTCCTTGGCAATTCTTTCTGGTCCCAGGATTTGGGAACTAGTGGAAGCTGCTGCTGGTGCCCACCCAGACACCATTAGAGCTGGTGCACCTCTTCCCAGCTGCTCACAGCTTCTGCTTCCTCTGGAGAGCTGCCCTTGGCTGACGGGAGCCAGAGATGCCTGGGCAGGTCCACCCCACCCCATGTCCCCAACCAAGAGTGGCCAGTGACAGAGGCAGAGGGTGAAACTCTCCAGCCTTCGTGCCCCAGAGCTCTCCGTGGAATCAGCCTGAGGACCTGCACTGTTGGGCTTCCCTCAGTCCCTTACTAGTGTCTCCTGAGAGCAGTCCCTCAGCATATCATGTGCACAAGTGACCAAGTGACACATGACTCCCTGCCCCACTTGGGCCCAGGCTCTGCCACTAGGGAGGCTGGCCTAAGACAGAGCAACCTTGTTTCTGTAAGTTTAGCTATTCAGTACAGGGAGCTGAGCACAGATGCTGAGTAGTGTCTGCATGTTCCTTCTCAGAGGGAGCCTCGTTTTCAGCTCTCGGCTGAGTGGCGTGGTCCCTGCTCTAACACCTCTCCAGGGAAGAGAGGGAAACCAGATTCACCTTTGAGGTAGAACAGGGGACCATGATCTACTTTATATGATGATCCAATTAAGGATCTCCAGTGCATCCCAAATGATACTCCAGTCACTTTTAGGAACTTATGCTAAAGAAATCATCATGATTGTGCAAACATGTTTAGCTGCAGGGATGTTCACCCCAATATTGGTTATAGTAGGAAAAAAATAACATAAATATTTAGGGTATTAGTTAAATAAACCAAGATACTTTTAGAGATAAGAACTCAATGGAACCATGAAAAAATGACAATATAGAAGCAGTTTTAATATGCAGGAATGGCTGTGGTATATTGAGTAAACATAAAAATTTGAATTTATCATCTTTATGATAAAGCTTTTCAAATATATTCGAAGGTCGAGAGACTGGTATAATCCATTCCCATCAGTAATATCAATTATTAATAAACGAGGGTACTTCAAAAAGTTCAAGGAAAGACTCATATTATCTTTTAATTCTATTTTTCCATGAACTTTTTGAAATATTCTTGTATAATTATTTGTCACCCTCGCTACTTGCATCCTTTAAAAACTAATTTTTAATACAGAGTCTATAATTTAATATCATTTTGTCAGAAAAAAGTTAATTGCATAAGAAAGCAAGAGACTCGAAGGACCCACTCCAAGTGGTTAACAGTGGTAATTAATATGTGCTCAGTACATGAGGAACACCATCCTCAGCCTAGAGTACTCTGAGTACCCAAGGGACACCACCCTCAGCCTAGAGTACTCTGAGCTCATTGGAGACACTGCCCTCCGTCTAGACTGCTCCATATACATGAGAGGCACCATTCTCAGTCTAGAGTGCTCCAAATACAAGAGGGACGCCACCTTCAACCTAGAGTGCTTTAAGTTCCTCAGGGACACCACTGAGTCCAGGAGGAACACCACCCTCAGCTGATAGTACTCCGAGTACAGAAAGGACACCACCCTCCGCCCAGAGTGCTCTGAGCACATGAGGAACAGCAGCTGGCAGAAGGAAGAGGGTTTCAGCCTGAGGCCCAAACTAGAGAGAAGACAGAATTTAACTTTTCTTTCAAGTACTTGCCAGGAAACAAGAGTTGTTTAAGCAATAAATAAGCTTATGAAATCTCTGTGGTAGCAAGACTCAGGCCCCCAAAACTCAGAGGAAGTCAGAGGAAAGTCAGAAGTGGCTGCAGCTGGAGGTGGGGGGATGGCACCTTAGAGATATCTCTAGGCTGGGGTTAAAAATGACACAGAACAGCAGGGACCCAATAACCTCCCACTGCTCACTCCTCTCTTCTCTCTGAAGCCTGCTGCACAGAACTGTTGTCTTCACATTTGCCCAAGAGCCAGAAGAGCAGGAGGAGACCTGGAAGAGGTAGGGTGTGACATCATCCCAGCCCCACTCTCAGTCAGGGCCAACCCCTCCCCAAACTCCACAGCTGGACAGTGCCAGTCAGCTGCCAGGGGGACCTTGTCCAATTTGCAGAGGAGCAGGAAGTGGGCAGGCTTGGCAGGGGATGCAGCCCTAAGGGGTTGAAGGTCAAAGACAGACTTTCTCCCGGTTTCGAGGTGTGTGAAGAGAGCCCTGAGATGTAGGATGTAGACGGCATGCTGGTGCAGGCCGTAGAGTGATGCTCAGGAAACTGGGGCCCTTCAGCTTAAACTCAGAGGATTGTCTGGCCTGTGGCTCTGATCTGGTTGGAACTTCTGGCACACTCGGGCACGAGGACCCATTAGGGGGTGTTTGCCTCCTCCAGGGTGCCTTCTTGGATTGCCTCAGCCTAGCACATGGGCAGAGACTCAGCTCTTTGCTCCTTGGAGTCCACCCATGATCTCTTCTGTAGGGTCTGTACTATTAATGGCTTGATTAGAGCTGGGGGTGACATCTCTGAAGGAACTGATGCAGAGGAGAAGGATGAAATTAGTGATAATAGCAGTCAAGGTTAATTGAGCACTTATTATGTATGCATCAAAGGAGTCCACCCATGATCTCTTCTGTAGGGTCTGTACTATTAATGGCTTGATTAGAGCTGGGGTGACATCTCTGAAGGAACTGATGCAGAGGAGAAGGATGAAATTAGTGATAATAGCAGTCAAGTTTAATTGAGCACTTATTATGTATGCATCAAACACCAAACTAAGGCAACTCCCATACATTATCCCAGTGACTTGTCTCTGGTCACACATCCAGGAAGTGGAGAAGCCAAGTTAGAACCAAAGTTTGACTGACTCCAGGCAGAGTGTAAGATTGAATGGTGGAAGGTGAGGCTGAGGATGGACTTTGGAGAAAGTGTGTGAGGTGTTTGCTTAGCCTGGCTTTGGTGTGTGTCCCTCCAGGGCTTCATTCCTTGACAGCCTCATGCCCAAGAGGCCCTCTGAGCCACACTTGAGCTCCCGAAGGATCAGGTACAGTGATGGCCTCCAGGCCTCGTGTGTGGGTCCAGCCTCCTTCTTCTTCCCAAAGCCTGTTCCCAGATCCCACGTCCTCCCAGGAGGACTCCATGATCTGCTATGTCCAGGGCCTCCAGGCCTCGTGTGTGGGTCCAGCCTCCTTCTTCTTCCCAAAGCCTGTTCCCAGATCCCACATCCTCCCAGGAGGACTCCATGATCTGCTATGTCCAGGGCCTGTGGCCTGGATTCCCGACTTCCTACCTCCCCTGCCCAGCCCACCCCAGATGGGGCTCAGGAGGCAACCCCCTCAGTCACCTTCCACCGCCCAGGGGACCCCACAACCCTCAGCTCCCTGACTCCAACAGCTGCAGAGTTGTGGGAACTCTACAGCTCTCTGTACAGGAACTCTACAGAGGGGAGCATTCAGCCCCTTCTTTCCTGAGCCTGGGGCCTAGGCCAGTGGGCTCGGCTCAGCCCCCACAGGACTCCCATCTTCTCACCTTCTCTCTTGCTCTCCGTCTGTCTGTCTCTCTTATAGTTTCCATTTCTCCATCTCTACTGCCCTTAGTCATGTTGTCTGTCCTCCTCTGTCACTGTCTCTCACATCTCTGGGTCTCTCTGTCTTGGTTTCCCTCCCTCTCTGTGTCTCTGACTCTCTCTGCCCCTCCTCTGCCTGTGTGACATCTTTTGGGTGCTTTGTGTTGGTCCCTCTTTGTTTACCCTTCTGTCTGGGTGGTGGGTGTGTCACAGCACTTCCTCTCCTGCAAGCCTCGCTCTCTGCTGTGCCCAGGATGGCAGGGCAGGCAGTGCAGGGCTGTGCTTTTGCTCATCTGCAGGTTGACACACTGCGGCTTCCAAGCCAAGCACCTAAAGCAGCTCTGCAAGGCACTGGGAGGATTCTGCTCCCTTGGTCACCTCGAGTGAGTGGTTGCACATTGGGGTTGGGGGGCTGGAGCCCATCAGACTCAGTTGGTGTTAGTGTGCTGGTGATTTGGTTAGTTTTGTTTTTAAGGTTTAGATCAGCAGTTCTTTCCCTGCTGAAGTCAGGAACCCCTTAGAGAAGCTGGTGAAACTTGTGACTTTCTCCCAAAATGCAGATCCTCCAAATTCTACACCTTCTGAAGCCCACCCCTGGTCACCCAGGGGTCCACACACCTCAGGATAAGCACCTGGGGGAGACTCCAGCTGCCCCATGTCAGATCTGCTGTCATCTGGCCTGGCAGCCTGGGCTGTATCCACCGATTCAGAAGTCCCGTGGCTGGGTGGAGAGATAGTGCTGCTGTTAGACCCACCCCTACTCTTCACTGACATTTTCTCTCCTTCCCATCCAGCTTATCAGGCAATGCTCTGGGGGATGAAGGTGTGGCCCTGTTGGCCCAGCTGCTCCCCGGGCTGGGCGCCCTACAGTCTTTGAAGTGAGTAGCCAGCTAAGCAAAGCGGCTGAGGTTTGTCCCCAGCAGGATGGGGGATGGGAGAGCATTCTGTGTCCCTCCCTCTTTCCCTCCTGTATCCCATCATCCTCCTCCCTTGGGGTTACTGTAAAGATGAAATGCATGTAAATCGCCTAGTCCAGTGCCGGACACATGGTAAGTGCTCAATAAAAGGTAGCTGATTTATGATTCTCATTCAAATAGAGACTGGCCTCTAGATTCTGGTTAAGGTTTCACTTGTCGAAACTGTCTCTGCACAGGCTCTCTGGGAGGCCCAGGCCTCCTGGCGCAGGATGGCAGGGGTTAGAAGTATTATGTGTCTAATAGCTGGCAGCTGTTCTGGCCCCAGGGTACAGGGAGGGGCTGTTTGATGGGGCACAGTCCTCATAGCAGAGAGGGTTTGTACCAGGGAGGGTACCCAAGCAGGGTGCCCAGAGCTGACGCTGCCAGAGGGCCCTGAGTACCTGGCAGAGAGAGGGGAGACATTTGGTGTGGAAGGGAGACCCATGGAAGGAAGCCAGGAATCTCCAAATTTTGCCTGCAGCAGACCAGAGTTTCTGGGCCCTAAAAGGCCCCTGGTGTTCTTGGCTCCTACATCTTCCTCCTCCTCCCAAGCAAGTTCCTCTGGGCCAAAGCGAGAGGAGCCCTAGCCAGAGGCCACAGTTCCAGGCTGGCTCTGCCACCTAGGTATTGTGTGACCTTGGGTAAGTTACACCACCTCTCTGAGACCCTGGTTCACAATCAGTAAACATATAAACTATAGGTGTGGCCACTGCTGTGGCTGCAACCTCTGGAATGAGTGCTGTGGCCTGATGATCCAAACACACAAACTATAAGTGTGGCCACTGCTGTGGCTACAACCTCTGAGATGAGTGCTGTGGCCTGAGGATGCAAACACATAAACTATAAGTGTGGCCACTGCTGTGGCTACAACCTCTGGGATGAGTACTGTGGCCTGAGGATCCTTACTGCTTAGACAGTCTTTCTTTGGGATGCTGGCAAAAAAAGATTACCCCTGTTCCTGTTCAGGGCCTCACCTGGCAAGGAAGGAAGGCCTCACCCTTGTGGGCAAATTATATGGAGACCAGAGCTTTCAGGCACATCCCCATGTGACCTTCTTAATACTGCAGATGCCTGAATGACCTGGTGTCTGTGAAGGTCCCCACTCACCCTACTAATGTCCCTGGGCCCGAGGAGGGCAACACTAAACGGCAAATAAAAAATACCATGACAGTTGACAGACCATGAAAGGAAAAGCTTTGCTCCTGCTTTTTGAACAAGAGGCCCCAAATTTTCATTTTGCACTGGGCACCACCCCCCCTTTCTCAGGTGGAGAAACTGAGGCCCAGTTCTGGCCAAAAACCACGCTCCAGATTCATCACAGACTTAGGGAACCACTGGGTTTTAGTCTCAGCTCTGACACCAACGTGTCTTGTAACCCTGGGTGAGACCTTGCCTCCGTGGGCCTCCGTTTCTCCATCTGTACAATGAGGATTAGAACGGGCACTCTCTGCCCGTCTGGGGTTCAGATGATTCCATCATTTGGAATCAGGGGCAGCCTTTCCCTGCTCTGTGCTCTGACCGAAAAGACTGTGTCTGAGTCTGGGTGACCTCCACCAATGTCATTCCTGTGATCTCCAGCCTCAGTGAGAATGGCTTATCCCAGGACGCCCTGTTCAGTTTGGCCTGGTGCTTCTCTGCTCTGCAGTGGATTTTCCACGTGGACATCAGGTGAGTGTGCCTCTCCACCCCAAACCCTGCTTCACCCTCCCTCCCGTGGGCCATTAGCTCCCAAGTACCCCTCTTCTGTCATGTTCATGAGTATCATCCTCAGGGCC